CAAACAACTATGCAAATAGTTGTTATGTAGTTGTGCGAATATTCGAAACACACACAAACAAATCAGGTGAAATTGAAGTATGTCATAAATATAAGTTTTAAAGTATCATAAAGTTATCTTTTCATGCATATAATACTTCTTGTAATTAAGTTTAAACAGTAATTTTACAACGAATTGAGTAAAAGGGTATATTATTATAACCTCAATATAGAAATAAAGATTATATCTAAAATAACATAGAAAACTAAAGAAATATTATCATCAATAATTATTACATTTATTGAATCATTATATCAAAACCGCTTGAAAAAGGAAAGGAAAAAATGAAATGTAATTTGTGAATTCAAAAGCTTAGTTAAAATAGTAGCCAAAAGAGGGCAGTAAGTACTTAAACAGCATCAGAGACAAACTGAAAAGTATTTCGAGCTGATAGATAATATTGGCCTATTTTGTAATTATATTGTACTTGGTGATACTAAGTTGAATGGAGGACAACTGCCTGTTCTAGAAACATAAGTGTACTTGAAAATTAGCAAAACAAATCATGGATTTGATTCTGAGATTATGAGTTAGTTATTTGTAAAATAGCCTTGAATAATATTCTTGTTTAATTAAAGCAAATAAACAAGTTTCTTTTTATTTTGTTCTTACCATGTTTTACATTGATCAACACCGAATACGTCTAGTAGTAGTATATCTTGCAAGTTGTATTTATAATTACGTTGGTCATACAAATTACAAGAGATGCTGGGCATGACTTGTATGTAACGCTGAATACATGAAGTGTCTGTTCTCCTGTAACGTTTGGAGTGATGATAGAATTTTGATTACAAGATTCAATAAACAACAAATACGTTAGTCAATTGACCACAATTATTAATAGTACAAGCACAGGCCGAGTTAAATAAGTATTGTATTGTTACGACAGCGGAAGTCTCGTGATGCTAGTAACACGTCATGAGATTCTAGAGGGATATTGTCTGTTCGTGGCAACTCTAGTCTTCTCTATGCGCCCTATATTTTTGTATAT